ATACTCAAACTCGAATCAACTCGTTTATAGTTGGGAAGCAACCAGGGAAAGACAAGGCGAGGCATGTTCTGACGAAGCTTCGTGCCTCTTGTTTTGTCTAATGAAAATATTGTTAGAAGAAACCACAGTCAATTGTTTCTCTGTAAATTGTAGTAGTATTTGTTTTTTCTTTAATTTAGTTACGAATATCTTATCTATTAATTAATTAATTTAAATTAAATATTATAAAAATTTATTATGTAGTGAATTTCCAAATTCAATTTATTTTATTTATAATATCAAAATTTAAATTTATGATATCTCTTAAAAATTTATCACCGATCAATTGATTATTAATTTTGTTAATTATTAAAATATCAATGGCTGGCTCCAGAAAAAGTAGGATTGATTTATTAAGATATATAGGGATGGCAATGGGTCGGGTCGGGTTTTTGGGCCATCTGACCCGACCCGAGAAGAAAGGGTTTTTCACCCGTGACCCGACCCGACCCGACGAAATTAAGGTTTCACCCGACCCGACCCGACCCGAATATATGACTTAGAAACCCGACCCGACCCGACCTGAAATAATAATAATAAAAAAATTTATTCAATGAAAACAGTGACTTAATTGAAAAAAATTATATATGGAGGGACATTATTGTAATTATCCCTAAATATATAGGATAAAATTATATATATTTTTCGGGTCGGGTCGGGTCGGATTTTTTTCACCCTAAACCCGACCCGAACAGTACATTTTAAAAAAAACCCGACCCGACCCGAACCCAAAATTTTTTTAAAAAAATCCGACCCGATCGAGTCGGGTCGGGTCGGAACCCGTCGGATTCGGGTTGAGTTGCCATCCTTAGATATATATATATATATATATTTTGTTTTCTCAATTCCAAGTTCATTGAACGTCTTTAGGTAGAAAAAGTAGGATTAATTTATTAAGGTTTCTTTTGTTGTTGTCGTATTTCCGATTCCAGGTTTCTCTTTGACTAATCTTGATCGATCCGTGTCACTCATTTGACTTTTGAGTGAGTCTCTCAACGGGAATTTTCTGCATATATAGGAACTCGAATTCAGGACATGCTTAAACGATATTAAGATATATTTTAAATGTGCGATCAGTCTAAATTCTTAATAATATGATATATTTTTTAGATGAAAGTATTTTAGTCCCGAAAATTCTACTTATATTTTATCCTCTGAAAATGGGGAATCTTCAATTTTGACCCTTCAAAACATAAATAGTTTGAATTCCTTTTAATTGGTCTAAAAAGTATATATTTTTTTGTGTACATTAGAAATAAATGTATATTCAAAAGTTTTCAAATCATGTTGTTCACCAAAGCCTTTAATCTTAAACCTTTAGCAACGAATATGAACAAGGGGAATTGATTCTTTCAATACTTTCAAAAGCGATATCTTAAAAGGCAAAAGATGGTATATCTTTTTAAAATGTCAACATTTTAGTGCATTCTATTCGACTTGAAAAAATTTCAAGTAAACTTCGAGTAGGAAAATAAGACTCGTCAACTTGAATAACTCAAAATTTTTTGATTTGATTCAACTCGACTTGATCGAATACTTACCCTATATTTAGCGCTTATTTATAAATTAATATTTTTTAAATAACAACATATAAAAGAATCAAAATTATAAAATGAAGAGCTAATTGTATCTCATATTCTCAAAATATGACCCTCGTTCTAAATTGGTCCCTAAACTTTTATATATTCTAATTTCATCCCGAAACTATGACTATCATTCTAAATTAGTCATTAACCTTCTGAACGTTTCAATTTCATCCCTAAACCATGACCTTTATTCTAAATTGACCCCAAACTTTTTGAACATCTCATTTTTATTCCATAATATATGTATGTATTAATCACATCCATTGTTAATAAAATAATTAGATCAAATTATATTATAATATGTGAAAAACCCAAAATGAACAAAAGAATTGTCTATCCAGTAAGAAGATATCGACAATGATGTCAATCCAACTAAATTCGATCCATAAATTATAATATAGATTGAATAAAAGAAATCGAAGCCGCCACCGTCTTCCACTTCATGTTCTACGTTCAGATTTGTGTTAATATCGTCAGTTTCCGAAATGCAGGGGGAAATGGCAAAGCACATCAGTTCACACTTCATAGGCATGTTTGCTTGTTTCAATGTCTTAAGAAGCAGACTACCTCAAAGATCTGGGTGAAAATCACAAAATAATCTGACAACATTCTGCTGAAGCAGCAAAAGCAGCTGGTGCCTAATATTTGGGACTCTAGATAGCCAGATAACAGATCTTCCTGGCTATTGTTTTGTAAGTGTTTCGTCTTGCTAACAGTTGAGACACAACTTTGATATGTTTTTGTTAAAGAACACTTCTTTGATGATTATCTTTGAATTGGAGATGTTGAGGATCGACATCTTCCTTTGTCAAGAACACAACTTGTGACTTGATGACTGTAATGAACAGGCTGTTCATGGCGGTGTTGATATTCCCAGTCTCTCGGTGGGACCAAATAGTCCGCCAACAACCACAAAGACCACATTTTTTAAATCCTTTTGATGCTACACTTCTGGCAGCTATCAAAGCTGGTGTTTTTGTTGCACAAGCAGCTGGAAATGGAGGTCCTTTCGCTAAAACTTTGGTTTCTTATAGCCCATGGATAACTTCTGTTGCAGCTGCCATCGATGATATCTGACCTTGGGAAATGGAAAATTTTAGCTCGAATTGGATTGTCCCGTAAGTTACCTCCACTTTGGCCATTTATTTGTTCTCATCATATCACTTGTTAAAAAAATCGTTAGGGCAAGTTATATTATTATATGTTTGAAAAAAAAACTAAATTTAGGTTAAACTAGTGTTGAAACAATTTGGATGAATTTAGAGATAAAATTTGAAGATTCAAAAGTTTGGGGGTTAATTTAGAAAAAGGGTTATAGTTTAGGGATGAATTTAGAATATTCAAAGGTTCAAGAATTAATTTAGAATGAGCGTCATAGTTAAGGATGAAATTAAAATTTTTAAAAGTTTAAGGATCAATTTAAAACGAGGGTTATAATTTAAAGACATATGATGTAATTAACTATTTATTAAGTGGTTAAGCATGAAAGAACCATGAACCCTGTTGCTCCAACCAGATGAACTGAACCCGAATCCGGACCGGTTTGGTTTTTTAACCAGAAACCGGACTATTTCCTTGCATTGTATCAAACAGAGTCTTAATTTGCTTTCCTCTTGCCCTTTGTAGGATATCAGGACTATCTGGGATTCTTATGCACAACGCCCGGTATCGACGTTCATGAAATAAAGAAGAACACAAACTCTCCCTGCAACACCACCATCGGCCGCCCCTCGAATTTCAATACCCCATCGATCACGATCTCTCATCTGGTCGGAACCCAAATCGTTACTCGCACCGTCACGAATGTCGCCGAGGAAGAAACCTATGTCATCACAGCCAGAATGCATCCATCCATTGCCATCGAAACCAGGCCTTCAGCCATGACACTTAGACCCGGTGCATCAAGAAAGTTCTCCGTGACCCTTACTGCGCGATCAGCGACGGGAAGTTACAGCTTCGGTTCGATCACCATGAAAGGCAGCTGAGGGCACAAGGTAGTCATACCGGTCGTGGCTATGGTAAATTGGCGATAGATCAAATCGGTAAGCTAAAATTAACGTTTTATGGTTGTATACTTTGGGGGAGCATTTCATCTGCAATTTTTCGACCACAGACACCGAATTTTGATCGGATTCAGGGTTGTGATCGGTTGATTGCATTGTAATGATTGTAGATGGACATGGTCTGGCATTGTTATTCTTTGTAATTTGTGGTTAATAAGATATGAGATCTATCGACAACCAGTTAGTCTAGTCCCAGTTAGTCTAGTGGGACGAGACACTAGATCCCTTAAACAATGTTAGAGGTTCAAATCCTGCCGTTTGCGAATGGAGCAAACTGGGTTGTGAGGGTCGTCATCACCTCTGCAGTAAGGTAAAATGCTTCCTTTTATTGTTTTCTTGGTTCACCATAGTTTGATCAAGGACCAAGTTTAGTGAGTAAATAGGGAAAATATATGATCAAGATGTTTTAAGAGTGTTAATTGTTTGGTTTTAATCGAATCGAAATTTAGTTTGATAAATTGTTCGGGTAATTAGATGTTTGATCTATTAGTAGTTGATTTTTTTAAAGTTCAATTATTGATTAATTCAGTTCGAAATCGATTAATTAATTGAAGTAACAAAAAATATTAAACATTTAACCTATTATATTGGGTTAGGATCTACTTACATCCGGTGTAAAACTAAGACTTTTACACATTTTTAGGATCGTTGGATGAGGGAAATCAAAGGTTAAGATTAACTATTTTTTTCCTAGTAAATATTAAATAATTTTGTATATGATTATGATGTTATAAAATATTGTAAATAAATATTTGGTGTATCGGCTACTACAATCAAGTAATTCAATTAAAATTAAAAAGTTAACGTTCGAGATATAGAATTGAATGATTCGTTTGTAGCCTTTTCAACCTTTAGTGACTAGTTTATAATCTTATTAATAGTTGAGTGACCTATGATGTAATTTAACAAAAGGGTAAACTACGTATATAGTACATAAACTATCGGTTTTAGTATTTAAACTTTCATTTTTTTCAAAATCATACCTAACATTTAGTTTTTATTTTATTTTAGTACCACCGTTCAAAACTTAACACGTTTAGTACCTAAATAGCTAAATTATCAGTTTTTGGTCAGTTTTTGTTCCTAAACTTTTTCACTTTTTTTTTTCAAAATTAACGTTAAATTTTGAACATGAATACTAAAATGAAACAAAAAATACACTTTAAGTATTATTTAAAAAAATAAAAGTTTAAATACTAAAAGGGATCAAAACTTATAAATTAGGTACTGAACTTGTAATTGAACCAAAATAAAACTCTCAAGAAATAGAAGAAAATTGCAGTAATTGGTCCAGTCCAGACCATTGCACAATCACTAAAACAAAATCCATGTCTTTTGCCACAAAGTTCTCTTCTTCTTCTTCTTCCCTTGCTAAAATCCCACCTCTTCAAACACTGCTCAAACGAGGCTTTACTCCCACACTCAAATCCATCAACCAACTCCTCCTCTTCCTCTCTTCCTCCCGAAGATTCAACGCTGTTATCCATCTCTACTCCCAGTTACAATCCAACAATATCAATGCCGATTCCCAAACTCACTCAATCCTTACTCGCTCTCTCCTCAAATTGCACAGATTCGAAGAAGCCGAGCATCTCATTAATACCCAGACTTCAAAATCTTCCAATTTCCCCAGATATCGATTTCAGGATTCTTTAATTCAAGGATTCGGTGTTATCCGGAACAACCCAGAAAAGGGTCTTTTTCTGTTGAAGGATTGGTTAGCGGATTCTGGTACTTTGCCTTCTTCTTTTACGTTTCGTTCGTTGATTCATAGTTTTGCATCTCAAGGGAATATGGATAGAGCAATTGAGGTGTTGGAGTTGATGACGGGTAATGTTAGATACCCCTTTGATAATTTTGTTTTTAGTTCTGTCATTGCTGGTTTTTGTAAGACTGGGAGACCTGATGTTGCTTTTGAATTTTTCAAAAAATGTGTAGAGTTCGGAGCTTTAAGGCCTAATGTTGTTACTTATACGGCTCTGTTAAAGGCTTTTAACCTGTTGGGTAGATTTGATGAGGCTTGTGATTTGGTTTCTGGCATTGAAAAACAAGGGCTGGTTTTGGATGTTGTTCTTTATAGCTGTTGTATTTTAGGGTACTTTAGAAATGGGTGTTTAATTGAGGCTTTGAATAAGCATAGAGAGATGGTGGATCGAGGAATTAATCCGGATATCGTAAGCTACACTATTCTTGTCGATGGATTTTCGAGGGAAGGCAGCGTGGAAAAGGCTGTTGGGTTTCTGAAGAAGATGTTGAAAGATGGGGTGATGCCCAATGTGATTACGTACACGGCAATCATGTTAGGATTTTGTAAGGAAGGGAAATTGGAGAAGGTATTTACATTATTTAAGGAAGTTCAAGATATGGGGATTGAAGTGGATGAGTATATGTACGCAACACTGATCTATGGAGCTTGTCGGAAAGGAGATTTTGATTGCGTCTTCCATCTGTTGGGTGAAATGGAGAAGAAGGGGATTAAGCCGAGTGTTATTACCTATAACATAGTCATCAACGGTTTGAGTAAGGTTGGGAGGACGTCTGAAGCGGATAGCATATTCAAAGAGGCAGGTGGGGATATTATAGCATACAGTACTTTGTTGCATGGTTACACTGAAGAAGAGAATGTGGAAGGGATTTTTAAGACGAAAGGAAAATTGGAAGAATCAGGGCTCCGTATGGATGTCGTTGCATGTAACATACTTATCAAAGCACTCTTTATGGTTGGTGCATTTGAAGATGCCCGTGCACTCTACCAAGCAATGCTGGAAATGGACTTGAATGCAAATCCAATTACTTATTGCACAATGATTGATGGCTATTGTAAAGCAGGTAGAATAGAGGAGGCACTTGAGGTATTTGATGTGTTTAGGATGTCATTAGTTTCTTCTGTTGCATGCTATAATTGCATGATTAGTGGGCTATGCAAAGAGGGAATGGTTGATATGGCCATTGAGGTGATTATTGAACTTTGTGAGAAAGGTTTGGTTTTGGACATGGGTATCTCTATGATGTTGATCCGGGCAGCTTTTGCTGAAACAGGTGCAGCGGGAGTTATGAATTTTGTTTACAAACTCGAGAATTTTGGGTCAGACGCTTACAATAGTTTATGCGGTGATGCTATATGTTTCTTGTGCAAAAGAGGTTTTGTTGAAGCTGCAAGTGAATTGCACACTGTGATGAGGTGGAAGGGTTTAATATTGATGAAAAGTTCCTATAATCTCTTACTGAAAAAGCTTATTTACGGTGGGAAAATGTCTCTAGTTGGTCCTTTTCTTAATTTCTTTCTAAAAGAGTATGGCCTTGTTGAGCCTATTGTTTGCAAGATTTTGGCACAATACCTGTGTCTTAAGAATATGGACATTGCACTACGGTTCCTCAAGAAAATGAAAGAGCTAGTATCAACAGTCATTTTGCATCCCACGGTTTTGAAAAACCTTGTGAAAGAGGGCAGGTTATTGGATGCATATAAACTTGTCTTAGAAGCCAGGGAAAGTTTCCCTGCTATGGATGTGGTTGATTACTCTATCCTGGTTCATGCCCTTTGCAAGGAAGGATACCCTAATCAAGCCTTAGATTTGTGTGCTTTTGCTAAAACTAAGGGGATTACTCCCAACATTGTCACATACAATTCGGTCATAAATGGATTGTGCCGCCAGGGGTGTCTTATTGAAGCTCTTCGACTATTTGACTCGTTAGAAAGAATTGGCTTGGTTCCCTCTACAGTAACATATGCGACACTAATTGATAATTTATGTAAGCAAGGATTACTGCTAGAAGCCAAAAATTTATTTGATACTATGATAAACAAGGGATGTAAACCAAATATATGTGTATATAATTCATTCATTATCAATTACTGCAAGTTTGGTCGGATGGATGAAGCTTTGAAGCTTCTATCTGATCTGGAGATCAAGGGTGTTAAGCCTGATGAATTCACTGTTAGTGCTCTGATTTATGGCTACTGTAAGAAGGGTGACATGGAAGATGCTCTTACATTCTATTCTGAGTTCAAAATGAAAGGTGCATCTCCCGATTTCTTGGGTTATATCCATATGGTACGAGGTCTTTGTGCAAAAGGAAGGATGGAAGAAGCAAGGAATATCTTGAGAGAAATGCTTCAGACAAAATCTGTTGTAGAGTTGATAAATAATATTGATACCAAGACCGAGCCAGAGTCGATAGAAAGTTTTCTTGTATTCTTATGTGAACAAGGAAGTATCCAAGAAGCTCTGGTTGTTCTTAATGAAATTGCATCTATACTCTTTCCTAGTCAAAAGTGGTCCAACATTGAACAAGAGTCTCAAGCACCAAACAATGTTGTGAAGAGTGAAGTTCCTTCTGCAGTCTCTACAGTGTCAGCAGGATCCAACAAAATATCCGGTTTACATTGCACAACGAATGACCCTCATAAAATACATAAGTTGGTGGAAGATTGTGATGTTGGAAAAGACGAATCTCAATTTCGCGACTTTGGCTGTTACTATTCCTTACTTAGTTCACTCTGTTCAAAAGGGGAGCAAGACAAAGTGAATAAAATCATGAATGAAATGATTTCAAGTTTGCAGGGAGACCTATATTCAAATTACTGATATTTTGGTTTCTGTGTCTAAAATCTAAAGCTTTTTCTGCTCCTAATATGAAGACAGGAAGCCGAGCAGTTACAAGCTAAAGCCAAACGATATGATGCTCTATGAACTTCTTCTGTTCTTAAAGAAGGTAACTTGCTTTCTTTCTTCTTCACTTTATGTATGACGTATTACCCCTTTTCCCGTCGAGTATTTATTACTTGCCGCCATATATATGGACGCACGTGAACTAGAATGTTTGCTAAAAAAAGAAACCGCCATTTTCAAGTGCAGCTCTGCCTCCTGTTGGTTACACTTGTCTTTTTCAAGATGCTCATGTATTTGGAGTCTTTGGACGATCACATCCTGTATTCAAATAGGTGTCAGATATGGGTGCCAGAGTACTTCAAGAAAACCGAAGAGTCGAAGCAACATGGCCATTAGGTAATAAAGGGAGAAGCTGGTTTTGTTTCGGAGTACTACCTCCTTTAATCGAAGCAATTAGATATGCTTTCTTCAGGTTTTATCATTATCACCATCATCATCGTCATTATCATGTTTTTCAAACCTTCTGCTGGAGATTTCTTGGTTTAGCCCATCAGTAATGATAATTACATCTGTATAAGAAAATGGAGATTCTTACGTGTTAAATGACTGAGTTTCATCATTGTTATGATCTGTATTATGTTATAAGCTTCTGTTAATTATAATCTGTAGAAGTTTGAACCTGATGAGAATTTGTGTTCTTTTTATTACAGCCGGGTTCGGATGGCAAAGATTGCGTTGCTGATGAGCATTGCTTGCCGACCTTTTTCCATGTAAGAATCATACTCTGGAATCAAGTTTTTTTGTCTTCTTTTGTTTTCTTTAACATGTAATGTGTTCTAATTACTGTACACTCGGAAGGTCGATCCTGGTGATTTTGCTAACTGCCGCGGGACACTTTCACATGTTGACTGGTCTGCAAGAAATTGGCATTCGGAATCATGTTCGGCTCAGGATGTTACAGGAGAGCTTCTGAAGAATGATATGGTACATGGCCTTATGACTTGTATATTCTCAAGCAATCCCATTGCAATAATGGCTTGCCACTTTGTTCTTGATGCTTATGACCATGAGGTAATAAGGTCATTAAGAAAACGTATATTTCTCTTTCGCCATGAAACGGGAAAATGGCAAACACTCGACAACTTACCACCTTCTCTCTCAATGGATTGGCTCGGGATTTGTGGTTCCTTCGTATGATGATGAAGAATTCGTGCATGATATTTTGGCTAAGTGGGTACTCCGTTGTGAAAATGTCTTGTATTTTGTCTCAGTTTGTCCCGAGATTATTAAGTCTGTTGTATCCAATGATTCTTCTTCTGGTAATACAAGGTCATAGGGCACTCTTTTCTCCTTACGGGTCCTAGAATTTTTAAGGAGACCCATTTTCTTTTAAGAAAAATACTTAAAATTTTATTTTTTTTCATCCTATAATAAGCCTCGAGGGGCACAGTCAATTATGACAATAACGAACCAATATTCCCGTTATTACTATGTTACAGTAAATTTGGAAAGAATTCAACTATGATATTGTCCCACAATTATTATGTTTTATAATAAATTATGTTAATTTAAAATTATTATCGTTCTTAGAGGTTACGAGTTCAAGCACCAACAACTACAACAGTAAGATAATTCAACATTCATTGTCAAATTATTGAGATTATTTAGAACAAATATTACTTTGTAATCACATTAACTTATTAAGAAAATTGATATATACAATGAACAAAATAATATCCGTTATGTCCGTAATTACAAAATACAATACAACTAAAAATGTAGTTGTAACTGATAGGGGTGTAAACGAGCCGAGTCGAACTCGAGTATTGATGAACTCGACTCGACTCGAAAATTATGAAGTGGAGTTCGACTTGACTCGAAAACTTATTAAAATTTTTCAACTCAACTCAAACTCGAAATCCTGAACAGCTTGAAAATACTCGAAATGAGAAAAAAATTCTTTAACTTAATTAGATTGAAGTCTTAAACTCGAAAATGAACCTTAAATACATAAAAACCTTACTGTATTTTTTTTTTAAAAATCAACATATAAATATTAATACTATTAATAATTTATTTAAAAAAAATAAAATTTAATATATTATATTTTCGAGCTGTTCATGAGTTTTTTCGAATCGAATATCAAGTAGCTCGTTTCGGATCCTTAAGAATTCGAGTCGATTATGTAAATGAAACCAAAACCAAAATATAGACAACTGAAATTAAATTGAATCTATTGAAACAATACAACATAAACTTTTTTTTCCTCGAGGATCAAAACGAATAAAAGAAGCTTAGCGCTTCGTACTTGCAATGAAAAGAGAATAAAAAATAGTAAACAGAGAATCAGAAAGTTTCAAGCAGAGTTTCTATATTTTCCCAGATTTAGAACCAGAAATCGCAGTCAATTCCCACGAATCAAAGAGATCAAAACTCAGACCGAGATCGATTGTTGAAAATCAAATTGCAAAAGAGAAAAGCGAGAAGTGAAGAAGTTTCGCATGCCTGATTAACTTCGAAAACTGTTGCTGTTGAAGAATCATCGAAGCACGAAAATCCTTTGTTGAAGTCCCAATCGGAGAATGAAGACTTGGATTTCAAGTAGTGGAGTTTGAGACGATGAGATGGATAACGGAGTCCCAAATCTTACCCTTTTGAATGTTAAAAACGCAATTTCACGTGAAATTATCTTGGGAAATGTTCTCCACTTAACTTAGGTCAAACGTTGGTAATTTTATATTAAAAATCCTAAACAAAAAATTATTTAAAGAACCTCTAGAAACTATTTGGAAGATTATCCTCAAACTGTCCACATTGAGAATCTCGTGGCTTACGTGTAAATTCTCGTACTCTCCACGTGAGATACATCTGACGTGGGCACATTTTTTAGATAAATCAATAAAATAATTAGATAAAATGATATCGCGCATTGCGAAGCGCGATATAGCTTTATGATATAAAATATTGCGAGATTTATGGGGACCTCGTTGTAACATCCTCAATATCAGGTCAGTGATTAAATTGAAATATTTCAAAATTTGTTGGTCAAAGTAGATAAATTGAAAAGTTTGGGGACTTGTATTGTAAATTTTGTATATGATTAAATATCAAAGAAGGAAAAATGAATGGGCAAAATGATCATTTGATAGCAAGATAATTATTGAGAGGGATTATATATATGTTACACGTGGGAAATAAAGGTAAAAGGAAAAGTTTCCAGAAAACTCTCTTCTTTATTTCTTACAGCCGTGAACTCAAGCTTGAAGAGGTGAGTTCCTTGTTAGTTGTTTATTTGTTGAATTTAAGGTTGTTTTATGATCATTTGATGATACTTAAGCTTAAGGAAATCTTAAGTCATCTTAAAATCAATGAATGAGGGGGTTAGAAGAGATTAAAGATTAGGAGTTTTAAATGAAATTTTGGAAAAGAGTTAATAAGTGGAATTTGAAACTAAATTTGACTTGTCAATGGTTGAATTAAGAGATATGAAGTGATAAAATTAAATTTAGAACATATAGAAAAGTTGGTATGATTCTTGAATTCCATGTAGAGGATAGGATTTAGGTTAAAGATGTGATAAATGAGTATAAATAGGTTTAAGCATGTGTATTTGAGTTTAGTATATGAAAGGGGATGAAACATGAAGTGTTGAAGCTGAAAAGAATGAATTTTCGTGCTTAAAAGTGATTTCTGGGTAAGGGCTTTCGGTACTTATTCATCAGGTACCGATACTTCAAGAGTAAAAATAGGGAAGATCTTCAAAGGGTATCGATACTTGGGGTAGGTGGTATCAGTACCCTAGCATAAGGGTGTCGATACCAATTTAAGGGTATCGATACCATCAAATTTCGAACCTAATTTAGATATCGATACCTAGGAAGGGTATTGGTACCCTATAGTAGAGGTATCGGTATTGTGCCTGTAGTACCAATACCCCTAAAATTGGAAAAGTTGATATTAGCTTTTTAGTTAGTTCAAGTTAGTATGAATCATGGTTGAGCATTTCAAATTCTGATATTCATTAGATTATATTCGTGTAGATACTGAGCATAAACAAGTTCCAGAACGGTTACAGAGTCAGGATCGATCCAAAGAGCAAGAATTATAAGTGAATTTGGGATTAAGCAAGATTAACGTGAGTACATATTAGTGATGTATGATGAATGAAAATAAGACTCGCGATGAGTCTATTTCTTATAGTGTATACATGAATCATGTATATGAGCATGTGATTGATATGAGGATATGTGATTATATATATATTTTACATGATTATGTGAATATATGTGACATGATAAATGACAATAGAGACATAAAGAATTGTATAAATGGAATTATGATCTAAAATATGCAGGGTTCTTATGTGACATAAGGAACATATATGATATAAAATTATAATGAATTTTGGGTTTAACATGAAATTGAAGAATGTGTTGCAAGTTTTAAAAGTTGGGGGACCTAAATGCAAGCGCCTAAAAAGTTCAGTGACCATATTGTAAATGTACTAACAGTAGTGTAAGGATCGGGGATCATATTGCAAATGGACTAAATGTTAGAGGACTGTATTGCAAGTTTTAAAAGTTGTGGGACCTAAATAAAATCTTTAAAAAATTTCAATGACCATAACTATACTTTACCCTATCTATTTTTATAATACTACTAACAAATAATACAATTCTATTGTATTAATGATAGGTGGACAGATGAAACAACTTAACAACACATCAATGAGACTTCAGACTCTTGAACGATAAATTTGGATATCAGGTGATAAAATATTTTCCTTCGACTTTTATCTAATAAATTGAGAATAATTTAATTTATTTGAGGTTTTTAGCTAACAAAGTTATGTAATTTTAATTTTATAGTTCCTTTGGATGCCTTATTGTGATGCTATTATTGCCGACTGTATACCACATGAGATTCGGGTAACTAATGCGCCTTTGTACATCATGTCAATCCCGCTGATCTTGTATGAGATAGTCGAGTGGCATCCTACCGAGCGCGTCCTTCGACAATTTAATTGTGTCCAATCGATTTCGCCACATCCACCTTGCTTGGATGAGTTGTATCGATTGACACAACAAGGGAAAACGAAAATTAATTGGGTGGATAATAATGTGGTGTATCTGAACGAGTAGGACCGAAGATTCGAGAAGACACCTGTGAATCAACCCATCATCGACCACATCATGACATACGATTATATGCAGTGGTGCTAAGAATATGGGATATATATATTGATTGATGAGGAGCGAATGCGAGAATTATATGTTCCTCCAAAGAGTCACCCGCGGATGGGGAGGTAACGTGGGGGAGTCAAGGCAGAGGAAGAATAAGACAACAAGTGCATCATCCTCATCGGAAACAACATAGAGACCTCCTCAAACACCGTTGACACACCCTGATCATGTCTTCACACGCTTGACTCAATCAACATTTCAGCAAATGGGGCAGTTCTCAGAAAGTTTCCTCACCGACATCTTTGATCAGTTGAATTCACCACCAATAAAATTAGAGGATAACTTTGGATCTAGCATTGTTGACCAGATGCCGTCGTAGAGCATATTCTACACCGGTCCCGGTTTCAGTGCTAGTGGTCGATCGATCCATATAAAATTGTCAGTCCTAATGATGATGATATTGCTGAAGAGAAAGAGGAACCACAATTACGTCCACGTTGGACTCGACATTCATCATGATGCGGAACTGGTGGACATAGGAATTATAGTTGTTATTTATTTTGTCTTCAAAATTGAAATATTTGTATTAAATTAAAAATTGAAATATTTGTACTAAACTATTTTATTTTGAGTTAATCAAAATATTTTCAGTGAAAATCGCACTATGCATGCTGCAATATCTATAGTACATTAACAAAACCACGCATCTTGTAAAACGCGAGATACCAGGATCTCGCATCCTGTAACCCACGTTATTTGGAAATCGCATCTTCCAACCCGTGAGGTTCTTGTAATAAAACAATCGCAATTCAGTATTATCGGGTAACAATTGAGCTAAAATGTCGAGGAGAGAAAGTCTTATTGCTTTGGTATATTACAATGGCGAAATGGTCTGTGATGCATTTCTCGGTGTCGTGTTTCAGTCCGTA